TTGCCGGGTGAGTAAATGTATTTTTAATAGTGTATGAATATTGATGGGTTATTTTTATTATAAACATTCAAATTACTATAATATTAACATTAGTTATAGCAAATAAGAGAGTAAAAATATTTTCAGAAATCAAAAGAAAAGGGTAAATAGGACTAGATAGGCAGTACTCCGAATTGAACTCATGTGTGATTTAGTACAAAGTGTAGCCTTATGTGTAAAACAATTAACCCATTGTCGCCGGGGATGCATTGTACGTACATGCCATGCCCAACTGAGAGTCGATTGTTTGATTGTTTTTACACATTTTGCACCCTTTTCATCAATTTATGAAAATATTTAACGTATCCTAAATTTGCTGTAAAAATAGCACCATCTAGATTTTAGCACTAGTAAAAAGATGTTTTTTCCTGCCAGTTCAAGGAAAGGTGAAATCAGGACTAGCAGAGCCATCTATGTACAGAGATATTTCACAAAAATATAAAAAATGAGTACAGCATTATCCATTTGTTATTAATTTTCCCCAGGCGGCAATGGGTAAACAAGTGGGCATGGCATGGATGTATGGGACGTGACTGGTTTAAAAGGTATGATTAAATTTTTAAAGTTACTGCTAAGTGAAATTGAAATACGGAATCTTTCTGTCGTTAATCTGCCTACCAGAATGTATGTAGGAATTACAATGTATATGTATATATGCAAGATATATATATATATATAAAATACATATTATATCTTCTCTATCCATCTATCTATCTGTCTGTCATCTATCTACATACCTATCTATCTATCTCTCTATCCTATCTATCTATCTATTCATATATATATTATGTAATATCTATACCACACGTATATATGCACTATATATATATTGAGTATATATATATTTTTTTTTATATATATATATATATATAATATTTATATATCTATATATTTTTTTTAAGAGCCATTCATTTCATGCAGGACATAGGCCTCTCTCAATTCGTATTGAGAGGTTATATGGCAGTGCACCCTTGCCTGATTAAATGCCCTTCCTAATCAACTGCGTTCGGCGCGTTACCACTTGGTGGCCACGGCGGTGGACTACCCCTACGGACACTGCGTTGACTTCTACAGCCGATATGTCGTTTTCGGTGCTCGAAGAAGCAGTGAGAGCACGGCATTTTTACGACTGCCGCACGAGGAATTGAGCCGGGACCACGATGTCGGAGTCCAATGCTCTAAACACTGAAGCTATCGCGGCAGTTCTATATCATATATATACACACACACACACACGCATATATATATATATATATATATATATACTATATATATATATATATTGGGAGGCTAACGCCGACGGGGGCGCATGGCCGCATCCATCCTTCGTTCCAGCCCGAGTGTCCCTCTCGCAGGGTCTCGTCGAACTGCCCAACCATAACGTTCCTAGGCGTCCATGGGCTCCTCACCCCAGGATTGTCTCACAGGAGAGACAATTCATGAGCAGCATCATCCCACAAGGAAACGAGCTAGGTGCCCATATAGCTTGAGTTGGCGAGCCCGGAATATGCAAGTAAAAGGTCCCATGCAGTTCTCACGGTGTAGCGTCGGTCCGGCCAAACTGTACCCATGATCCGGCGAAGAGACTTGTTATAAAAGCATTCAAGACGAGACTCCGGAGGCACTAGATAGCGTCAGGTCAATAGAGTTAAAAATGGCAGTCTCAAGGCCTTGAAGACATGTACCTGATCTTCGCATAGATACCAAAGCTCCAAATGCTCTTGTTTATCAGTTCAGGCTCCTGCTGCCAGACCATCAGTCTACTGAATCCGGCAGCCCAGAAGATTATGGACTACGTTACCAAGGTATGCAAAGCTCTCGTGACTTCAATGTCCTCATCTGCAAACAGGGATGACTGAACTGGTTCCCTAACAGACCGGCCAAGGTAAAGGACTTGGACTGCCAAGGGCTCAGGCCCAAGGGCTTCGCCTCCTTGTTAAATGCATCAAGAGATGCCTAGGACTCCAGAGACTCAGATAGGATAGCAACATCAGGTCTAAAGCCTGATATTGCCCATTGTTGCTCCACACTGAATTGGGGTAGTAGCTCTGCCCCATTATCCAGTCCATACAGTGTGAAAAGTGTTGGTGCAAGGACACAGCCTTGCTTCCCCCCTGAATTAACAGGGAAGAAGTTCGACAGCGCCCACACAAACTTTACTAGCACTTTCTGTATGGTAAGATAGGCTTGCTATAGGCAATAATCCTTGTTGGATTCTCCCATAGCGATTCTTGATGACTGAGTCAAATGCCTTCTGAGGCTGATGAGGCCTGCAAGCAACCCACAACTGAATTCATGATGGGTTTTTATTCCACAATACTAAAAACGCTAGGATATGGTCTATTGTAGGACTTGTTCGAGTGACTCCACTATGCTCTGGCTCTGGTGCCTTGATAGGTGGGTTGTGGTCTGTTCTGAAGTAATGTGGGGAAACCTTGCTGGGTATACAAAGCAGTGTGAT